AAGAGAGGCAACATCCCCATGGGCTCAATGCAATACGTGGTGCCCTGTTCGCCCCTTCACTTTCTGTGAACGCTCATGGTTCCTGCGCTGAGCCCTAAGTGCCAGCTCGTGGGGACATGTTGCTGCCGTTGCCTCGCGAGGCCTTGCCTGGGCCGGCGGCGCGCTTCGGCCCTGCAGCCAAGCCCAACGTGCCTTGCCACAACGCCCTTTGCCCCCTCTGCGATTTCTGGCTGCCAGTGCCGAGTTTTCGGGATCTGGCTGCCAGAAAAAGAGAGGCAACATCCCCATGGGCTCATCGCAATGCGTGGTGCCCTGTTCGCCCCTTCACTTTCTGTGAACGCTCATGGTTCCTGCGCTGAGCCCTAAGTGCCAGCTCCTGGGGACATGTTGCTGCCGTTGCCTCGCGAGGCCTTGCCTGGGCCGGCGGCGCGCTTCGGCTCTGCAGCCAAGCCCAACGTGCCTTGCCACAACGCTCGTTGCCCCCTCTGCGATTTCTGGCTGCCAGTGCCGAGTTTTCGGGATCTGGCTGCCAGAAAAAGAGAGGCAACATCCCTGTGGGCTGATTGCAGTAGGCGTCGCCCTGTTCGCCCTCCACTTTCTGTGAACACTCATCGCCTGTGCGCTGAGCCCTACCAGCTAGTGGAGACACGTTTCGCTCGTTGCCTCGCGAGGCCTTGCCTGGGCCGGCGGCGCGCTTCGGCCCTGCAGCCAAGCCCAACGTGTCTTGCCACATTGCCAGTTGTCCCCTCTGCGATTTCTGGCTACCAGAGCTGAATTTTCGGGATCTGGCTGCCAGAAGAAGAGAGGCAACATCCCTGCGGGCTGATCGCAGTCGGTGTCGCCCTGTTCGCCCTCCACTTTCTGTGAACACTCATCTCCTCTGTGCTAAGCCCTGCCAGGTAGTGGAGACACGTTTCGCTGCCGTTGCCTTGCGAGAAGAGATCCTGGATACCTCGCGCTTCTACACAGTAGTTATATGGCCTCGGCGTCAATGCGAGCCCGATCTGAGGTTGGGCATGCTGTGACTAGTGCGAGCAGGAGGGGTAGCAACTGGGATTGCCAGAGACTCTGTCTCAAGCTCGAAGGAGGAAACGGACAAAGACGAAGTGGAAGGAGGAGGTGTCGCCCTGTTCGCCCTCCATTGTCTGTGAACGGCCATCGCTCCTGCGCTCAACCAAACCAGCTCGTGGGGACATGTTGCTGCCGTGGCCTCGCGAGGCCTTGCCTGGGCCGGCGGCGCGCTTCGGCCCTGCAGCCAAGCCCAACGTGCCTTGCCACAACGCTCGTTGCCCCCTCTGCGATTTCTGGCTGCCAGTGCCGAGTTTTCGGGATCTGGCTGCCAGAAAAAGAGAGGCAACATCCCCATGGGCTCATCGCAATGCGTGGTGCCCTGTTCGCCCCTTCACTTTCTGTGAACGCTCATGGTTCCTGCGCTGAGCCCTAAGTGCCAGCTCGTGGGGACATGTTGCTGCCGTGGCCTCGCGAGGCCTTGCCTGGGCTGGCGGCGCGCTTCGGCCCTGCAGCCAAGCCCAACGTGCCTTGCCCCCTCTGCGATTTCTGGCTGCCAGTGCCGAGTTTTCGGGATCTGGCTGCCAGAAAAAGAGAGGCATCATCCCTGTGGGCTGATTGCAGTAGGCGTCGCCCTGTTCGCCCCTTCACTTTCTGTGAACGCTCATCGTTCCTGCGCTGAGCCCTACCAGCTCGTTGAGACTTGTTAGGCTGGCGGCGCGCTTCTGCCCTGCAGCCAAGCCCAACGTGCCTTGCCACATTGCCAGTTGTCCCCTCTGCGATTTCTGGCTGCCAGTGCCGAATTTTCGGGATCTGGCTGCCAGAAGAAGAGAGGCAACATCTCTGTGGGCTGATCGCAGTCGGTGTCGCCCTGTTCGCCCTCCACTCACTGTGAACACTCATCTCCTCTGCGCTGAGCCCTGCCAGCTAGTGGAGACACGTTTCGCTGCCGCTGCCTCGCGAGGCCTTACCTGGGCTGGCGGCGTCTGCGAGAAGAGATCCTGGATACCTCGCGCTTCTACACAGTAGTTATATGGCCTCGGCGTCAATGCGAGCCCGATCTGAGGTTGGGCGTGCTGTGACTAGTGCGAGCAGGAGGGATTGCCAGAGACTCTGTCTCAAGCTCGAAGGAGGAAACGGACAAATACGAAGTGGAAGGAGGAGGTGTCGCCCTGTTCGCCCTCCACTGTCTGTGAACGCTCATCGCTCCTGCGCTCAACCAAACCAGCTCGTGGGGACATGTTGCTGCCGTGGCCTCGCCAGGCCTTGCCTGGGCCGGCGGCGCGCTTTGGCCCTGCAGCCAAGCCCAACGTGCCTTGCCACAATGCCCGTTGCCCCCTCTGCGATTTCTGGCTGCCAGTGCCGAGTTTTCGGGATCTGGCTGCCAGAAAAAGAGAGGCATCATCCCTGTGGGCTGATTGCAGTAAGCGTCGCCCTGTTCGCCCCTTCACTTTCTTTGAAAGCTCATCGTTCCTGCGCTGAGCCCTACCAGCTCGTTGAGACTTGTTAGGCTGGCGGCGCGCTTCGGCCCTGCAGCCAAGCCCAACGTGCCTTGCCACATCTCCCGTTGCCCCCTCTGCGATTTCTCGCTGCCAGTGCCGAGTTTTCGGGACCTGGCGGCCAGAGAAAGAGAGGCAACCTCCCTGTGGGCTGACTGCAGTGGCAGCGCGGGCGAGGAGAGATCCTGGGCACCTCGCGCTTCTGCACAGCATGCGGCCTCGGCTTCAGTGCGAGCCCGACGTGGCCGCGCGTCTCGTCGTTCGGACCTGCGCGGGGCACTTAAAAGCCGTGTCGGCGACTGGCGTGTCCTGGCGGGCCTCGCCTTCCCGGTCCGGGCCCCCGCCTCGCCTGCACGGGTGTAGCTCGTCTGCGCACGCCCCGCCATGACGTGCTGGTGCAGGGCACGTCTACGCCCGCTGGCCACAGCGGTTTTGCCTCTCACGCACGGCTTGGGCCGGCTTCCCCGACGAAGCCGCCCGCCCGCTCGTGGGGGACCACGGCCAGTCAGAATGCGGCAAGTCGTTGTGAGCCAGCTGGCTTAGGCCCTGCGAGAAGAAGAGGAACTACGTCGACGGCCGCGACGTCCACCTGACTTCTAGTTATCTGTTTAGCATTCCGCTTAGTGTTCCAACAGTGGTAAGGGAGGATCCAGAGTCTCTCCTGGTTGGTCCCGACATTTGCGCTTTCGCCGCGGTGCCATCCCGCTGCCGTCATTCAATGTTCTATCGAGCAGATGACTTTCGCGCGGCCATGCTGAGATCTATCCAACGTCATTGCAAAACCGTTGGCGTCCAACATTCTGTACACTGGGTCCATGTATGGTGGATCCCCCCAAACATTGAACGGCCAATGCTTTCTCAATAAAGGAGCTGGCAACATTTGCTTCAAACTCGGGGGGCTCTCAGGAGCCCCTCTCATGACGCTCTGCTGCCTTCTCTGGGAAGAAGCAGCCTCTCAGGAGCCCCTCTCAGGACCTCTCAGGAGCCCCTCTCAGGACCACTCAGGAGCCTCTCAGGACCTCTCAGGAGCCTCCCAGGACGCTCTCAGGAAACTATCAGGACCGTCTCAAGAGGTCCTCTCAGGAGCCTCACGGGGCTTTTCAGGAGCCTCTCAGGACCGTCTGAGGCGCCTCGCAGGACACTCCCAGGACCCTCTCATCATCCTGCCACGGGGTGCTCTGCCGCGAGTTTTTCTCACTACGCGGCCTTCAGAGCTCTCGGCCCCTTCCCGGGGGGCATCCCAAGGCCCCCGCCACCGCGCGAACCGCTCAAGCTTTGAACGACCTCCACTGGCAGGGGCCACCAGAGGCTGTCGACCAGCGGCCTCCACGCGCCGAAACGGCACGACGACGTCCAGGACGACGTCCACCGTGGCCCCGCCTCGGGAGGCGCTAACTGCACACCTGGACGCCGATCCTGGCCGGGCCGATCCTGGACACAGAATCGGTGCAGATGCCTTTCTGTCAGGGCAAGTAGCACTCGTCGGTCGTTGAAACGAGGTGCTGTTAGATCCTCTGGCTCCAATCTACCTTGGGGCGAACTCCTGCTTCCATGATCGAGTGCGTTCCCCTGTTCACCTTTGGGGGGCGGGCGGAGGCCCGGTCTACTTCCAACGCCCTCCTGCGTCGTGCTTCTGCCCACCTCTTCCGACCGACGGGCACTCTGGCCCTTGGGCACCGCCCAGGCATACTTCTACTGTGTGTGTGTGTGTGTGTGCGTCGGCCTCGTCCGGGCGACACGCGCGCTCCGGAAGCTCGTGGTAGAGAAGCCCCGTGGCGGGCGCTCTCTGGCCGCACCGTCTGGGAGGTACGCAGCATCGGCACATCCGTGCTAGCCTGTCCTTCTGTGCGCCCCCCTCCACCTCCTCCTCCTCCTCCTCCTCCTCCTTCTCCTTCTCCTCCTCCCCCTCCTTCTCCTTCTCCTTCTCCTTCTCGTTCCCTCCTCCTCCTCCTCCTTCACCTTCTTCTTCTCCTTCTCCTTCTCCTTCCCTCCTCCTCCTCCTCCTCCTCCTCCCTCCCTCTCCTCTCTTCCTCCTCCTCCTCCTCCTCTTTCCCTAGAGTCTAATACTTTGCCCAGGCTGCTTCACATTCCCTGTTGAATCCTCGTGTGCGCTCCCAGCTCTTCCAAACAATCATCCGTGCTAGCCTGTCCTCTTGTGCGCCGAGCCTGGGCCCAGGACGGTCCTGGCCAGGATCGGTGCAGGCGTTCAGTCGGCACCCTCCTGCCGCCGCGAGGCGGTGCGACGTCACGTCACAGTTTCTGCGATCAGCCGTCGGGGATCATAGCGAGGCGGGGTCGGATGCTGCAGGAGACCAGACTTTGTGGAACGACTGGCAGGCGACTCACCTGGCACACGTGCACATCTGACTGGGCCCCAGCCCGCCCGCGCCGCTCCCAAGGAGCCCGCCTGCCGGCGGACACGCGCGCCTCGCCTCGCCTCGCCTCGCCTCGCCTCGCCTCGCCTCGCCTCGCCTCGCCTCCCGCCGCCGCGAGGCGCTGGGCGCCGTGGGCCACGGCGGCGTCGCCCTGCCGCCGTGGGACCCTGGCAGGCGGCAGGGCGGCCTGCCGCCTCTGGTGCGCGCCGAGGCGCTCGTGGGCGCGGCGTGGCCGCGTCGGTTCGGTCTGGCCCGCCCCGCCCCCAGGACATGGCAAGCAAGTATCCCAGGGGCTTCCGTCATTCTGCCGACCCCCAGAAGAGGGAAGAAGTCCACGGTGAGCCTTTTGGAGGCCTTTTGGAGACCGTTTGGGGTCCTCTGGGGCGTCTTGGGGGGTTGCCCCCAGGACATGGCAAGCACTTATTTCGAATAGTGTTCTGTGGTCTCATGCGGAGGAACATGTTGCGTGCAGCGGCATCGGCAAGGACAGGATGAGCGAATCGGCCAGCGGGCTCTTCCTTCCCCCCCCCTCCGAAGCGTGTGGCTTGTTTTTACGCTTGTCGGCGCCGTGGCGCCACCGCCCAGCCCCACGTAGGGCTGTCCCGCGGGACGGACAGGCGCAGTGTTCAGTGTTCAGTGTCCGCCCCGCCCCTGGGAGCGACGCCGCCCGCCGTGGGCAGGATTGGTCGGAGGAACGGCGGCGAGGGCCTGAGATCTGGGCGTCGCAAGTTTCTCACAACGCGCGATTTTGCGGGCCCCGAGGCCCTCACGTATCGATCCGGCTCGAGAGATGGCGCAGAAAGATGGGGTCTTCGGCTCCGGTCGTGATCTTTCGCGGTGTTGCATTTTTTTCGCAACGTCGGACCCTGGGCTTGGGCGTGCGCGGCGCGCGCAGGCGTCGGAGGTTGCCAGGTTGTGTTCCTGCCCCACGTGCCCCCAGCTTCCGCCCGCTGTAGGCAGGGATCGGTCGGGGGGGCGGCAGCGATGGTGCACGGCGTGTGCAGGCTTCGGAGGCTGCTAGGGGTGTTCCTGCCCTGAGGTGCCCCCGGCTTTTCGCGTCGTTCTGGAGCCCCTCGGCCCCCCTCCCCTGGCCTCGTGAGGGGTGCTGCGGAGGCCACCTGGGTCTGTGCGGAGAGTGCGGGGCCACTTTGGGGCCAGGGCCATCTCTGGCCAGCACCCGAAGACAGGCACCCAGGGACGAGCAATCATCCCCGAGTTCCGTAACATGCGCTGAGCGAGCGTTGGCCTTTTCGACAGCCTCGAACTGATCCTGTCGCGGACAGACACCGCGCGCGGAAGACGCTCCAACACACGGCGCTGCGCGCGGACGAGGCGAGGTTGCCCCGTCGGGGGGGCCCACACGCTCAGTGCCGAGCGCAGTGTCCTCCAGGGGCCAGGCAAGCAGTCGGCAGATTTAGCTGCTCCTTGGCCTCCTGGAGGCCTGTCTTGTTGACTCCTTGGTCCCCCCCTGGCCGACAAAGGTGGTCCACCGACCACGGCGTGAGTCAGAGTCAGAGTCGAGTCAGAGTCAGAGTCAGAGTCAGAGCCAGAGTCAGAGTCAGAGGAGAAGGTGTCAGAGGAGGAGGAGGCGGAGGAGGAGGAGGAAGAGGAGGAGGAGGAGGAGTAGGAGTAGGAGTAGGAGTAGGAGTAGGAGGAGGAGGAGGAGGAGGAGGAGGAGGATGAGGAGTATTCTTTGGAGGAGGAGGAGAAGGAGGAGGTGGATGATGATGATGATGATGATGATGATGATGATGATGATGATGATGATGCTGATGCTGATGCTGATGCTGATGATGATGATGATGCTGATGCTGATGCTGATGATGATGATGATGATGATGATGAGGAGGAGGAGGAGGATGAGGAGGATTATTTGTATGAGGGAGGATGAGTATGAGGAGGAGGAGCATCGGGGAGGAGGAGGAGGAGAAAGAGGAGGAAGAGAAGGACGAAGAGGATGATGATGATGATGATGATGATGATGATGATGATGATGATGATGATGATGATGATGATGATGATGATGATGATGATGATGATGATGATGATGATGATGATGATGATGATGATGATGATGATGATGATGATGATGATGATGATGATGATGATGATGATGATGCTGATGATGATGATGATGATGATGAGGAGGAGGAGGAGGGGGAGGAGGAGCATCGGGGAGGATGGAGACATGGGTGATGCAGAAATAGCAAGATCACTGGTGGTTGTAGTGGTAGTAGGAGGGGGCCAGGGGGCAGGGGGCAGGACAACATAGAGGGAGGGGAGGCTCCAGGAGGATCCCGACAGGGCTGGGAATCGACGACGACGACGAGGGCGACTACGACGACCTTGCAGTGGCGGCGGGGACGACGAAGACGATGAAGGCGGCGGCGGCGGCGACAGCGACGACGATAACCTCGGCGGCGGCGCTGGTGGCGGGGACGAGGAGGAGGAGGAGAAGGAGGAGGAGGAGGAGGAGGAGGAGGAGGAGGAGGAGGAGGAGGACTTAGTGCTCCGCAGGCCCGATTCGATCCTGGCTGGCACGAAAACCGCCCCAGCACAGCACGGAGCAAGCGACAGAAGGAGATAGGGGAGGGAAGAAGACGCGCCTGCCAGCTCAGCCGCTAGGACAGGCGCGGTGGCATTCGGGGTCCGCGGGGACAGTCCCCGACCCCGTGCCCTAACCACGGCACACGAAGGTATCATCGTCGACCTCACCCGCTTGGGCTCCTTGAGGGCCCGTGCGGACAGCCCCCGACCCCGTACCACCCGGTTGGCACACACGACCCAAAGTACCATACAGGCCTCGGAAAAAAAATAGCGAACACTCATGCCACATTCATCTGTGAACGCCTCCCCCTCCCCCCAATGTTCAACGTTGGCGGTGGGTCTGATGAGTTGCACCTCGACTGCAGTCTCCTCCGCGCGTGCCAACCTTGAGTTTGGGGTGCAGGGGGGGTGTTCACTAAATGTTTCCCTCTACCGTATGAGTCCTGAGCTCTACCCAAGGAAAGGACACTCTGTCCGCTGGCCTTCCCACCCTTGCGCCTCCACCACCCCGGAAGGCGGGGAGCGCTGGGGAGGCTCTGCCCAGGGGTCCCTGACGCCTCGGGTCTTCCTCAGGGCTCTTCCTACGCGTGGACCGTCTTGCGGGACCGTGGGGACAGCCTCCGAGTCAGTACCCTCCATCAGGCACGTACCCCCATTCCAAATTGTCGTAAAGACCACATCCGCAGCTTCACCTTCACGCGCCCGATCTCCTTGTGAGTCGGTGGGGTCAGCCCCCGATTCTGTTCCTTCCAGCAGGCACATACTCCCAGTATCAACAGGTTCGGCCACACTCTTATGCCTTACACTTGAATTTGGCAAAATGCCTCTCGCCAGCTTGATGAGTGTCTGACGGCCGTAGTGGCCCAATACACGAGTGCACCGGTCAGCTAAATTTTGGATGACATGTTTCCTAACACAACCACTTTGGCTCAAGAGGGTTCAAGTCCTTTTTCTCACTTACTGTCACACTCTTTCGTTCTGAAGCCGCTTTTCCGGTCTCTCTCTCTTTACTTCGATGGCTTTGCCCGGTACTCCTGTCAGGCAATTGTTTAAACAGCACAGGGTCCACAGCCCATTTCATGAGATGGATGGGCTTGACGACGACGTTGGAGCAAGGGGTTCAGGAACTGGAGGATCTGGGGCGTCAACAGGGGAGAACACCACGAGCGCAATCACAGGAGCTGCCCATGGACTTCAACAACATCATGAACAGGGGGGAGATTCACTAACGTTTTCTTCTATGGCACGTCTTTTGGAGCAGCATTTGGCACCAATACGCCAAGACATATCAACCATAAAGTTGGATGGAGTTTCTCGCGACGACCTTGACGGAGCTCTCCAACCGATCATGCAAGACATGGAGGCTATTTCACAGCGAGTGGAAGTACTAGAAGCGAAGTCGGCCCAATACACTCCGCGCTCGGACGGCGCGGAGATCACCCAGGGATCATTCCAAAATCGTTTGGCAGAATTGGAAACCATGATGAAGAATCTATCGACGGCGAGTGGAAAAACAGACGCTGCGACGGCAGTGTTCGGTGGCTTGGACGGGCTTTCCTCTTTGGAGGAGGCAGAGAAGTTCATCAAGGCGGAGCTTCGCAAGGCGAAGGTCTCACCACCCGTCGACATCTTCATCAAAGGGGACACATTTCCAGGCCTCGTTTTCAGCAAGATGGCCAACCCGGACGACCTCCATACAGTCGTGCACAAGTTCCGGACCACATCCATCACGTGCTCTGGAAAAAGGGTGTGGGCGAATCAAGACCAACCTGTCCATGTACGTGTCCCTCTTCGTTTTCTTGTTGGCTTCCAGAAGTTGCTCACCAATTGGGGTTTCAAGTCTAAAGCTATCAAAGTTGATGATATGGCTCTTACTTTGAAGATCGGTGCTGACACGATTCTGTCTTCAACCTGCTCGGGGAAGAACTTGGCAATTACGTGGTTGAGCGAGGAGTGGAAGAATTGGGGGTATCTTCACAACGACGATGATTACAAGGCGCTTTACGATAAGTGCCAGAAGTCTTTAGAGGCGGTTGGGGACAAAGGCAAAGGTAAAGGGAAGCCTCTGGCAAAATAGGGACAGCACCGGTCAAACCACGTTTCACCCCCTACCTTGACAGGGGATTTGCATGTGTATAGCAAGAATGCGAGATTGCGAACGAATGCGCAAATAGTTGAATCAATTGCTGAATTAACAGATGTGGAGTGGGATATCATAATGTTCAGCGAGACCAGGGCGACATCAACAGAACTTACATTAGAAGGTGGGCATACATTGTTTTTACATTTGGATGGTTATGCTGCTGCGGGCGTGGGCGTCTTGGTGCACGGACGCCACGCTCATAATATTCGCCGGGTATGTGCTGAGGCTGGCCGCATGATTGGGTTAGACATAGTATTGGGGAGAAGCACAGACACATTTATTTCCACTTATGTTCCTCATGGTGGTTTTTCTCTGGATGAGTTCACTGAGTTCTACGACCGGCTTGATAACATGGTACGGGCGGCCCAGAGGAGAAGAAGTCATGTAGTTATTGGTGGCGATTGGAATACTCAGTACAATATCGGCCCAAGGGGGCAAATATTGAACGAATTCGTAGCGTGCCATGGTTTTCAATTAGCAAACTTTCCGCCCAGCCTGACCCACGCAGACGCGTGGACATTCCGATCGAGTCTTGG